GGGGCTGGTCTGCAAAAAATTTTTTTCAGGACTTTGGGCCTCAGTTTGGTCTGAAAACGCCACTGCAGAGGGGTCAGATCTGTTTTTGGAAAGGTAGAGAAGTTGTGTGGTTGGTAGCTATAGCCTGTATTGAAGATAAACTCTAACCCCAACCAACAATAAATAATGGGAAATAGATTATTTATCAGTTATTTGCACAGTCCCACCAGCTTCTTGTCATGGACACTTCTATTTATTAGGCAGACCATTAGAAAAGCTATGGGAGGAGGTGGGGCGGGGAGGGGGACAAGCACACACAAAATTAATTGAAGGGAAAAATGACTAAAGAAATAATGGACATATTAACAAAAAAATTCATGCAGCTCAAAAACTTCCCCATCCCTGCCATAACTTTTCTAATTAATGGTCCACCCCTGATAAAAGCAACCATATCAGCTGGTTTACATATGACAACATCATGGTAAACATCTTGTTGGTGAATAACAAAAGCTTTTCTCTCTACTGGGAACTTTAAACCCTGTTCTTATACAAATTCTGTGTAAAAAAATATGTGTATTTTGTGATCACTAAAATAGCAACCTTGCCAGATGATATGGTTGCAAACCAAGAATATCAGATGATAATTATTACATTTATTAATTTTTATTGCAATGCTCTGATAAAAAGGTTTGCTTTTAAATACTTGGTGGTAATTTTCGTACGCTATCTAGTAATAAATTATTGATAATCAGTAGTATATTTGTTCTCACATCTGTCAGTTCTGACGAGCCAACCCAAAGAACGTCCACCAGCAGTAAAACAACAATCCCCAACAACAAGCGTCGTCTCCGCCTAACACTCTCATCCTGTGACACAATAAACTGCACTGTTGAAGCCCACATCGAACGGAAGCAGTTACAAAGACGACTGCTACTTGTAGAAGACATCTTCTTTAATTCTTCTAAAAATTAGTACGCTAACTTCGCTGTGATTTAACAGACGAAGATGTTTCATGGTACCATGACACTAAATAAAGACAGAAATGAGTTGAGTAATAAAAAAACATATTATAATGACCGGGATTATAGGGAAAACGCTTTTTTAAAAAATAAAAATCTAAAAATAACAAGACTACTGACCTTCTCGTGACATGGCCGCCATCTTGGATTGCCATGGTTAAACGCGGGCTCATGTCACAGGCCTCCCCAAACGAACTCAGAGAATTTCTGTCTAGCTCTTTCTCGCTGTTTCACGGGTTTCATACTTTCATATGCACAAGAACAGCGAGTAAAAACACCCAGAAGAAAAGCAATACTCAGAGGCAAGTTTCAACAGCTAGAACGACAGCACAACACCCAAAAAGGTTTATTGCTCCCAAGCTTCTTACCCGGGGGAGGTACTCAACAAACGTTTATACGGGAAGGCTGCGCCCCGAGGTTCAACCCCCGTACCTTTTTATAAACCATTTTTCACGAAAAAGTTACCCCTTTTGTTTACCTTCTATTGACAAATGGTACCCGTTTCACATAAATATACTTTGTTTAGAACTTTGCATTCCTTTTAACTGCTGTAAATGCACTTTTTTAAAAATAGGAATCAACATATCGCAAAATACAAAGTTTTCTCGACTTTACAAAGCGACGAAATTTATCTGTTAGCCCTTTTGGGCCCTTTCACAGACCCAACCCTATTGTATACCTGAAGCCTGAAAAAGGTGCCCCTATCGGGCAGAGCCTTCCCGTATACGCCATCATAGAAAGTACCCCACCCCTCGCCTCCCCCCCTTCCCCTCTCGGGCTTCTTACATTATGCAACCAAATAATCAAATTATCCAAAAAATAATACGTAACGTTTCACGTTTACTTTATTGATTTAAGACACTACAACCGATAATACATAATATGTGAACATATTTCACTCACTTTTTAACTTAACGAAAGCCTTTTTTTTGTATAAAATAGGAGTGGCGAAAGAAGTAAATAAAGTTTACTCTTTAGGAGAATCATAGTATGAGAATACATGTCAATCCACGGCAAGCACCACCTCCCTCGAGGCGGAAGCACGCCTTCACCTCCTTCATTGCAACAAAAACTGACAAGTGCCGACGTTTTTAAAATGACATGACATTTCAAGACAATCTTTCGCCACGCCCTTAATAATTACAGCTACACGTTATGACTACATTGTGGAATATAAGTTTTCATCGAGAGAATAATTAGAAATTCTCACCACTGTCTCTGATACCCTAAACTCCCTACACAAACCTCCGGCCTAGCTGTCTACATAAACACACAATTATAACCTTCTGTAGCTACGTGGCATCATTTTTAAATCAATGCGATATTAGTATGATTGTAGACCGCAAGCGGTCGTACCTTCTCGCGTCAGAGCCACGCGCGGCGAGAGAAAAAAGTAAAATTATGCAAATTAAAGCTTCCGCCCACGCATGCTCTCAATCTACTACCGACTCAAAAAAATGACAAGAGACAGCTCGCAGTCTATACGATTGTAAACCAGTGTTACACATTTCGATAAATGTATTAACATCATGGTCATTGCTACCTCGCAAAAATAACAATAAAGGCAGTTTTCTAGCGTTACTTCTAAACGAAATGGACTATACAGTAAAGTCATTCGGCTAAGACTAAAACGACTTATGATTTTCCTCCCACAAGGTAAAGTACGGGCAAACATTATCAAGGCCCCTATAGCGATAATGCTGCAAAACATAAAATATTCTGATTCAGTGTAGGTATTTGCAGTGCAGCATTTAACTGTACGAATATTTACGTCGACACTGGTAGAAATATTTGGGGTCATAATACTCCTCCCTCCCCCTCACACTCCTATATAGGAAACTCACATTCTCCAGTAAGCGTAAACTTGTGTAGTGGAGAGTATGAACCTTTTTCTCACATTTTCAATAACAACGCTTGTATCAAGCAGACACTTCTTTTGAGCGGATATCAACACAAGCTAGGATCGGTAACCGCTTTTCCTTTTAAACCCTCATATAAAAGAATAAAAATCAACATTTGTTGTCGTCCTTGTACATTTCCAAAATGGTAGCCTGTTCTAGGCTCGGAAGCCGGAAGCGAAAGAGTAGGGAAGATGCGAAAGTCAGGAAGGTACCCGAAAAGGGGTGGGGGAGCGGGAAAGAAAAAAAAGAAAACCCATCCTTTCCCCAGTTTCCTCCCGCGCCGCGTTCTGAGGGCTTAAAGGGCTAATATAGGTTTGTTTTAACATGTCAATATTAAAGAAGCCTTGAGTAAGATCAAATGGTAAAAAAAAATCTTTAAAATGAATTATAAACGTATCTAGGACCTAACGCGAAATTAACGGCTATATATGTTAATGCACTAATGCTTCTGTAGAAAAACATTATTGCTAATAATTATTAATCCTAATGACTATCATTGAAGCTCTCTCTCGCAGTTTTTCTACTTGGCTGCTGTATTCATGTTGTTTTATAAGATGCAAAAATAATTTTATGGAGTTTTTACAGCCAAGAAATTGTGCTTCCTAAGACTAAAGGAAAATACTTAGATGTTTTTATTGATCTCAATCTTGATCATCACTGCATCATCTTTAGAGTACTGTGGGGTACAGACCATGTCGATGGGCGCAAACTCTTCGTAGCCATACAGGGTGGTGTATCGCCCGGCAGCAGTGGGTTGCTGAAAAGCTCCCAGATTTCCGTTAGCCGTGAAAGTGCCACTGACATCGTTACAGAACCTGTAAGCATCACTGCTTTGATCCAATAAGGAAAGAGAGATTCGTCCCTCGAATGGCCATTTGAGCCTATTATCCAAATCCCCCTGCATCATACCAACAAACAGGCCAATGTGTCTTCCATCTCCACCATCAACGCCTTTTGGGAAGATACGCATGAAGAACTTGTATCCACACCGGAAGCTAGTGTAAATCGGAGGACTCTCAAGTGATCTTATCTCTCCATTGCCTGCGTCCTGGAGGAGCTGAGAGAAAGGCTCAATCTTCCAGATATAATTTCCACCACAGAACTGACCCTCAGTTAAAAAAGGCTCTACTGGACTTGACCTGTTGAGAGTTGGTTTTGTGAAGCCGTTTTAAGAGTTGTGGCATAAAGAAAAAACAATTTGGAAACAGCTGCTAACAAATTAAAGTTAGATGCTATCCTGGCTGAAAATGTAAACTTTGACCCCTCTACAATATTTATGGAGTGATTATGACCTCTGACCTGCGATCGGGCACAACCCTGATGGATCAAACGACACAAGTGACAAGAACTGACCAAACTCAAGATAGGCCTCGAGTTAGTAACAACACTGCCATCTGCAACATAACTGAAACTGGAGTTGTGCTTATCAACAGAGAATAAGGTTCGCCTGATCACAGGTTATGACCTGTACTGTTTTCCGATGTTTACTTAAAATTTCACGGGTTTCTTTAAACCCTTACTAAAACGTATTGATGAAATGAGGTAGGTAGCAAGCCACAAAAGAGGATCTCAGAAACTAAACTGTCCATTAAAAAACTCATAATGTTGTCATGTAAACTGATAAAATGTTGCGATTCCAGTCATTTCCAGGAGTAACATGACGCACTGATATACCCGTGGCCAGAGAAAGAAAGCTCTCGATCGTTTAAAGAAATTGGGGGTATAGTGCGGAGTGTTCATTTACTGACCTGTCTAAAGTCTGCTGTCGAAGAAATCTGGATGCACGCATGCGTTCACGTCCTTGGTTCTGCTCCGGAAATTGGCTGGTCTCCTCGACAGATTCAGAACACCTGATTCCATCGTACGACTCAGTTGCAACAGTCCGTCCTCGCCTGCAGTGCATATTAGTTGTTGGTGGTCTAGCCCCAGTCCAATCACTGAACTGTATTCCTCTAGCCATCTCAGCGTACTGCAATGGATTGAAATTCAAATTCTTCACAATAAGCTCCCTCATCGGTAGATGAGGATAGCTTGGTGGCACAACTGGCAATGGTGAGATCCCTTGAGGATCCATCAGCCCATTGTGAAAACCTGCAGCGTTAGGCTGACCAATAGAATGATGTTGAGATCCATGTTCTGTCTGTTCTCCAGCATGAATGAGATGATATACACCTTCAATGGGTTGACCACCGATGGCCTGCAAAAAAAAAGGAAATTCGTATTTTTAGACCAGCATAGGAGATATTATCACTTACTTGTTAAGTTGTCTCTTAATGAATGCCAGTCAAGAAACAGTTAACGGTCACAAAAATGTGAGTCCCAGCCTTCAACTATCACCGAAGCGGTTCCTCGCAGTCTAGCTGTGCTGATGCCAAAAATGTACTAAACAGATAAATTTAAACTTCCCTCTTTTTTCTCAAGTCACAACTTGCGTTACGATTTAGGAGATTTTGATTTTGGCAACATACTTTATGGAAACACGAGCTGCAGAAATATTTTTTAGTGCTAGTGCAATAAAAAAGTGATCGTTTATCTTTTGTACTAATGTTGGGAGGTCTTGATATTTTCTATGAGATACTGCATGACAGGCACCTCTTGAGTTTTTAAATATCTACCTACCCCTTGCTCTATTCGCTGTCTTGCAGCTGAACCAACTGCATGTTCTTCAACTTCATTATTTTCCCTATAAGAGAACATTGCAAAATATAACATTATCCTAGCCGCCAGCCTTATCATTAAAAACTTAGATTGCTTCATGAATTTTAATAACGGGGACTGGTTGCTGTTTTAAGGTAACCAAGTTTGCTTCAACAAAGCAAAAGGTTAATATTTTTGGGACAGCTTAAGGCGATTTTTTTGGGAGGGGGAGCGGGGGTGGCGGGGGCGTGTGGATCAGTTCAACTTTAACTATTCACTGAACTGTATAGACTCGGTTGTCCTTTCACGCTTTTCACTTACGGCAGTTTAAGACACAGTCATTCATTCTCGTGACAGTCCAGCTCTCCTGAGAACGGTGTGGTTTCTGAAGGTTTTGTCTGGCACTCTGGAGACGAGCGGTTTATATCTGTTCTTTATCAGTTGGTGAAACGTCAACGGAAAGGGGGAGAAATTCAATGAACAAACAATTATATATCTTGACTTGTCGGCGAGCTGGGTTCGATAACAAGTTAATCAATATTAAAAAAAGATCAAGGCGAAATCCCAGCGTTTTCGGGGCAATAAGATCAAGAACTTCTTTAGCGAATAGGAAATAGGTATCTTTCTTATTGCAAAAATATCCTCCCATCACGAATTTATTTCTCGGTGGGTCCTCAAAAGGAAATTTTTTAAGTTTTACTTAGATTCAGTCATTATGAGGTTTACGTCATATGCTCAACAACTTTTCGTATTATTTGACAATTGATTAATGTACGTTGCCATACCAAAAAATGAAAAACAAACAAATATAAAATGAAATAAAATAAAATTTAAACCAAGGAGAAAAATGGAACCACGACAGATACAATTTACAAGTCGACTGAGCGTGACCTGTCTTGGAACGACGTCAACAGATCAAAGGTTTCTGATTGGTTCAAACGTACATAAATTAAAGCATTTACAAATACAAACCTGAATGACTCATCAGTGAGCTCTAACAACAGTTTCACTTTGGTGTCGTTAAATTTCAGTTTTAAAATAAGAGGACTAATCCCTTTGCATGGAAATAAGTGAAAGACGACAAATGGACTCATTTAATGTTTTCTACGAGAAACTGAGGCGGGTTCCACAGCAGCATTGAGATTGACACTACTTCCGGCATTGATTTACACTTTACAAAAATAAGCAGCAAATAAATCGAACTAATGCTGGATAATCTTGTCGGAATTTGGATGCGAAAAGATTCAGTGGACGACAGTCATTCTCATCCAAGCATTAGTACACCTGGAGGTACTTCGAAACACTGGTACGTACGCGTCTTCTTCGTTATAAACTAGAGAACTGAACTCTCTATTTATTTCCGGGGTTTATTTCGATGTTTAATACATTTTATCATGCATGTTGCCTGCTACGTTCGCTGGTGATGACAAAGGAAATCCGTATACACACAAACTAATAAAAACACTGGCTTTTTCCGGGTGCTGGAGATAGTACGTTATTATGAGAAAGGAACATCAATCAATTAAGTGGAATAATGTAGACAAGTTACCTTTATTGTTCCAAATCGTTCTTGGGGACGATTCTTCATACGATTCGTCATACAATAGACCTTTCCACGGATTTTTCAACCTTTTGGCATTGACAAGTAAAGGATGATCCATCGACTCCGCTGGAAAAAACGCCTATCAATTACAATAGTGCCAAGTTTGAATACAAAGTCATTTGTTGAAAACCAGCCAAGACTGATAGCCCCTCAAAGTCGCGAAAATTTACAGACGTCTGTATGGTGGGGGGAACAAACATGCCCCCAACCCCCTGCCCCCCTTCATAAAAACGTCTGTAAATTTTCGCAACTTTCCGGCGCTACAGTGTATATTTCGCTAGTTTAGACGTATATCGCTTTCATACTTGGCAAGTTTTCCGTAACTGGTCCATGTCAAAAGTTTAAAAACCGTTAAAGGGGTTAATGACCACAGGTGAAAACTGAAATGCACCAGGCTCCCAGCTTCTCAGTGTACGAAGCGGTCATTTTTTTTTCACAGTGCAGTGTATAGCGGTAATTGAATAACGTTTAAATACCTTATCATGAGAATAGTTATAAACTGGGCATTTATTGGATGCATATCCTTTTTTTAAAGTCAGAAATTTAACTTTTCTTTCTCGGCTGAGTAAGATGAAATTTTGAGAATGGTTGAGGTATTTATTTGCTAGGTTCATAGGGCATTTCCCTGCATGTTACTCTACCAAAATAAAGAATAAATATCAGAAGATGAAGTTATTTGTTACTTCTTGATGGCAATGATCTTATTGTATTTTTGTCGTTATTTGCAATCCTTACATATCCTTTTACATCAGATCTAAAAATTAGGCTAATGAAGTCAAACCTGTATATAACGGTCAGTCACCTTGCCATTTTCCCAAGGATTACCGTTCTTCGTTATAAATTCGCGGTTTAGGAAATGAATATGTTAAAAAACCGATTTTTTTGTTACTCTAAGAACTGTGACTCTTGTCACCGATATGTTAGTCTACATGTCTAGGTTTATATAGAACTCAAATTTTATTGTCGTAGTACATAATCAGTCTGCTGTTCTGATGCTGACACAACATTCACATATTTAGGGCTAAGGACTTATACTGATTGTTTTCAAAAAGAATTGTACATATTCTTTTGTGATAGGTATTAGAAAATGGTATAAGACCACGTAAAGATACCTTCGACTCTCTAGGATGTGATGGCTGTTTCCTCAGTGGTCCGCATGAGGACTGCAAGCCACAAATGTTATTCAAAAAGGTACATTGCATTGCTCACAGCTCAAGTTTTCGATGTGGCTAAAATACCCTGATCTATGGCATTTTTTTCGTTGAACATATAGGTCTTTTCCTTCATTTTTGCTAGGCAGAAAGTCGCCATCAAACACGTCGCTGTCATACCGCCTCAAAGCACACGAAAATCGTATCCGAATCCATCAATACACGGTCATACACCTTCACACGGTTTTGCCAACTTTTGAAATAAACCAGCAGGCGAAAAATGATCGAAACCACTGGAAAATGAGCCTTGAAATCAATAACATTTGCTAACTTTGATAGTGGTATGTTGACAACTAATAAAGATATGGCTCGGCGAAGACACAAAATTACACATGTGGACTAACAAACGTAGCTTTCGTCCATCGTAAATTAAAATTCTTCTGGACCATCTGGTGTGGAACATCCCTGTGAAACTCAGTAGCGCATTTGTGGAGATATATATTTGCTTGTTTCTAACAAATTCCTCTCTAAAGCTGTTAAGTTCTCTTTTTAGTAGTGTCGATGGATTTTTTGGTCTGTTTGGCTAATTTAAATTAAGGGCCTAAGGGGCCCCGTTTTAATTCCGGCAAAGTACGATAACTACTTTTGTCGAAATGTGGGTGGAGAAATTAGTGCATCCGACGGAGGGATGATTTCAGTTCATTGATTAGACTAGATAGGACTTATAAGTAGTAATAATTAAAACAAAAATGCAGAACAAGTTTCATTTGTAGAATTAACTGCCACAGAACATTTGACGTCACAAATCATAGCGAAATAGACTGATCTGTCTATAAGATTTTACCGGCCAAGTCATGGAGCCTTAACGGGCCTCGCGGCTTAAATGTTTAACGCCTACTAAGACTTTTAGCGAAGCCACTTCAGCATCACAGTCTTGTTTTTGCATTTTTTCTTATATAGGTAAAACATTAATACTGCAAACTTCTTCCCTTCCTATAAACTCAAGTGTTGTAAGCGTTTATGCACTCACCTATCCCTCATCCCTGTACATAGCGACCTTCTCGCGGTAGTCATACTCTCAAAACCTCTGATCTGCAGCGTAACAATTAATTATTCTGCGAATGTAGCCAGAATCTAAGGCTTACGATTCCCTGTCTCTCTGTTTTTCTGCTAAAACACCGATTTTTTAAGTGACTTATCGGCCTGTTATCGTGAAGAAGGCCAGCAATAACTAAGGGATTTAGATTTCAGTGCGCGATATAAACAGGCAGGGCTCCTGAAACAGGTCAATCAGCCTTTTCTGATTGGCTGCGTTTTGCGGTTATATTGATACCTCGTCGCTAGTTATAATTCAGATATGGAAATCTGTTCCAAACGGCCGGAAATATATTGTTCCAAACGCTCAGATAGTGGAGAGCAGTGGGAAGTAAAGAAAGCGATGAAGAGTATAACCTAAATGTAACCTGCGTCAGTGGAAAATTAGGTCTTTTGTCCTATTATCAGGTCTAGGCAGCGGCTCTCACGAGCTTGTTATTTACTTCATTCTCTCACGTAGTTAAAAGGTTGGTTCCACTGCATCTTTTATTCAGCAATTAAAATTTAACGCGGACTTTTGTGAAAGCAGACGATGAATCTAAATTTCCTAAATGCCCACCAAATTAAAGTGTAATTCTTATGCACGAACGACACAAATAAGGATTGTTGTTAAAATTTTGTCGCGACCCCTTAGTTTTCTATAGGTATTAGTTTTTCTTCTGATTGGCTGATGAATTCATTGGACCTTTAAATTTCTATACTTCCTGTGTCATTAAGAATGTCGGGAGGGGAGGGGTAGGTTCAATTTTGCTTCCTGGTGGAAGGTAAAGCTTTGTTTATAGTAGAAGTGAACTTAGCTTTACAGCTAGTTTACAAGCACTCCTCTTAAATAAATAGAAACAAATAATCCAAATAGAACGTGGGAGTTTTCTAGGAACATATTACGATGCATTACAAACTGTCCCTCTCCAAGGGAAGTCTTAAGGCTTGTCACTAACAAGGAGGCGGCTCTATTGATCTTTTTTAACAGTTTCTTGATTGACTTCGAGCGTCTGTGTGACATCGCAGTCTTAAGCGAGGAAATTGTTCATGTGTTCGCGAATCAGATCATACGCCGGAGAGTAAGCTTTGATATAATCGTGTGTTTTTCTGTAAAAGCCTTTTGAGGTTTTCCTGCGCTTAGATGTACCTTCTCGCTGGATTTTTGCTGCGAGGTAAGTCGCGGGACCGCCACTTTCACTTCGTGCCCGATCAGGTCGCAAATGAAATTC